TAGTTCTGAGCATACTAAAGCATTTTCTAAAGAGTTCCCGCCACTAGCTACGTTGTATATATATGTTTATTAACTTTAGCAAACACTAGCTACGTTGTATAATTTTTAAATAAATTAATACCGCTCGAAAATCAGGAATTTATCGAAAATAAGGTGAGACGCTGGCCGTATTTCGGCAGTTCTGTGAGTTCTGCTATAATTTTCGTGTAGTTCTGAACGTGTTCTAACGTTGTCCCATTTTATTCTGGCAATAAGGATTATTTATTCATTTTTTAAATAATTTTTATCGCTCGAGAAAGACCCTATTCTCGATAAATTCCTGACTTTCGTGCGTTATTAATTTATTTAAAAATTATACAACATTGCCAATGCCCGGAACTCTTTAGAAATTGTTTTAGTATGCTTAGAACTGTACGAAAAATATTTTATATAAGCCAGAACTCCGAGATTTTCTACAGCATCTCACCCACATACCCGTAAATGCGTCTTTCTTGGGCGATAAAAATTATTTAAAATATGAATAAATAATGCTTATCGTCAGAACTCTTTAGAAATAAACGTTAGAACACGTTCAGAACTATACGAGAATTATAATAGAACTCACTGTTACCCATGTGTATTGTTTATTTAAGAATGTGTTTTTATTTTTATCCAATTATCCTTCTGTTGTTGCTCGTAATTTGGCCGCTTGAACATGCATAGGTAAAATAAATTTAATAAGAGTGCAAGAAACATTATAAACTACCATTTTTTTCTCAATATAGTTAATAATATAATTATTTTGGTATGCATTTAAATATTAAATTTAAAATTTATTATGCAAAGTAAAGGTTTTTAATGTAAGACTTTTTTAGATAGAAAAGCATAGAACGGTGATTTCTATACATTGCATTTACGAATATTAGTTTTTATGTTTCTAAATATTTATTTAATTAATTATATTTGCAATCTTTATATATCTATAAATTTCAAATATATATACATATATATATATATATATAT